AAATGTTTAAGAATCTCATTTTGATTACCATAAATGTTTTACCTACTGGTATGTAGAGTACTTCTACAAACAAAAACATAAACAGTGCTTTTAAAAGAGGTTTAAAATGTTTGTTTACATGACAAAGACTCATACAGTGGCTATAAAAAGTTTTATTCTACATGAATGTGGGATCATTAAAATGGCTTTAGTTCAGTAATCCTGCCATTGTTGGTCATTGCAGAATAAATCATGGGTGACACTTTCAAATGTGGTATTTTTATAATCTTATTATAAACAAACTTTTGTGAGATGCTACATGCTGATGCCATTATATAATTTAAGACCAGTGAAATATTAAGTGGCCTAATACACCTTCAAAGCCGCAGTGTAATGTCTGTGCCAGCAGCAGCACCAAATGAATTTCCAAAAAAATACTTTTCAAATAGGTTTGAGTGTTTTCAGTCATGGAAAACCTAAAAAATGTAATTGAATAGTTTCAATTTAGTTATGATATAAAAAATAGTTGGACAAGCTGGTTCACAAATCAGTCTAAATTAATCTTAAGTGAATCAGCCTGAATTTTTAAAACCTTTATCCAGTGAGCATAAGCTAACGGTCTTGGAAACATTCAAAATTGTGGGACATCTGCCTCCGTATGTTAGGCTCCCCCAACGAGGTTTTGAAAGCTCCACACATTTTAAAATCGTCCTACGATTTACTTACACTTAAGCATTTTAAACTGGTGAAAGGATGCAGTATTTTGATGAGGATATTGCACAGCAGTGTTAAAGGGATAGTTCACCCAAAAATGAAAATTTGATGTTTCTCTGCTTACCCCCAGGGCATTCAAGATGTAGGTGACTTTGTTTCTTCAGTAGAACACAAACAAAGATCTTTAACTCAAACCGTTGCAGTCTGTCAGTCTTATAATGGAAGTGAATGGGAATCACGGCTTTGAGAGTAAAAAAAAAACATACACAAACAAAACCAAATGAAACCCTGAGGCTCGTGATGATACATTGATGTGTAAAGACACGAAACGATCGGTCTGTGCAAGAAACTGAACAGTATTTATATTGTTTTTTACCTCTGATTCACGCAATGTCTGAAGTGTCCTGAGTGCGTCCTCGACAGGTGGCGTGTGACACGTCGTCGTCTTGCTTTACGGCGGATCGCAGACTTAAGTGCATTACCACCACCTATTTCTCAAATGGACCATTGACACACTATCTACAATCTCAATTAGGAGTGTCAATGGTCCATTTGAGAGATAGGTGGCGGTAATGCACTTATAAGTCTTATAAAGCAAGAAGAGGACACGCTCAGGACAGTTCAGACATTGCAGTGCATCAGAGGTAAAAAAACGATATAAATATTGTTCAGTTTCTTGTACAGACCGATCGTTTCGTGTCTTTACACATCAATGTATCGTCACGAGCCGCAGGGTTTAATTTGGTTTCG